GGCATGGTACTCAAGGCACTGGACTCCCATACATGGCCAACGGCAGACCTGGTGGATAGCTTTCTCTCTCTGTGTGTGTGTCTCTGTCTCGCTCTGTCCCTCTTTGATCATATTAAAATAAGAAATAAATAGGGGCACCAGCAGTTGGAGTAAGGGCTATGTTGCTGTACTCCTATGTAGTCGACCACGGTTCAGGTCCTGGACCTGGTGGCTGAAAACTCACACTGGGCGTGCGTGCACGCATGTCCAAGATCCCAAGAAGAGAATGGAGAAGGAACTGTGGTGTGGCCATCCCCCCTAGCGGGGGAGGGGATGATTTCTTGCTTTCCCTGTCTCTCTCTATCTGACAAGCGCACGGGCTCTATAGCAAAAACCTCTCAAAAAAATTAGTGCTTTCCTTTCTCAAACTGGAAATAAAAATAAAATTGGTTGCTTTTGCCAATTTTATTTAATCATTTAGTAAAATTTGTAATCAGAGAAATTAATGACATTATGCAGATTATAAGCGGTAAAGCTATCCCTAATGCATAAGGAATATGATATGAACTGTATAAAATCCAAAATAATCCACGAAAGAATTATGTACTAAAGAACGAGCTCAAGAGGTAACAGCAGATGGTATAATATTTACTACACTGGACAACAATTTAGTTAACCAAGGTTCAAGTCCCAGACCTGGCAGCTTGAAACTCATGCCAGACAGGAACCAGCAGTTAGTGTAATGGCTATGTCACTGGACTGCCACGTAGTGGACCATAGTTCGAGTCCCACTACTCACGCTGGGCACGTGTGCTTGCGTGCTGAGAGGAGAATGGAGAAGGGACTGTGGCGTGGCCATTCTCCCTGGGGGGGTGATTTCTCACTTTCAGTCTCTCTGTCTCTCTCTGTCTGTCTGAGAAGCGCACATGCCCTATGGCAAAAAAAAAAAAACCCCACAAAAAAAAAAAAAAAAAAAGAAAACTCATGCCAGATATGTGTGTATGGGTGCCCAAAATCCCAAGAAAAGAATGGAAGACACACGAATGTAGCATGATCATTCCCCCTGAGAGGTGATTTCCCACTTTCTGTCTCTCTGGCAAACACACATGCCCTATAGCAAACATCTTTCTTTAAAAAAAAAAAAGAAAGAAAGAAAAGAAAAGAAATGAGCTCAACAAACACAGACACTTGACATAGAACCTATATCAAAAAAAAAAAAAAAAAGTTGCAATATACACTTACAATAAAAAACTGTAAATAAAACAAAATTAATAATATCTCACTTATAAGAAAACATAAGGAACCAGCAGTTAGCATAATGGCTATGTTGCTGGACTCCCACGTAGTCGACCGTGGTTCACGTCCTGGACCCGGTGGCTTAAAACTCACGCCGGACACATGTGCGTGCATGCCCAAGATCCCGAAAGGAGAATGGAGAAGAAGCGATTGCAGCGTGGCCATTCCCCCGGGGGGTGATTTCTCATTTTCTGTCTCTCTGTCTCTGTCTGGCGAGCACATGCGCCCCATAGCTAAAACCTCTCCAAAAAAAAAAAAGAGAGAAAAAGAAAACATGATTCCATGATTCCATTATGTGCTATCTACACAGGTCAAACTAAATTCAAAAATATCAAAGAGATTAAAAGACATGAAAATGTGATATTTTCATAAAGATACACATAAAAACCAAAGGAAGAGAACTAAAAATCCAGAAATAGCAACTAGCACAAGGGTTACATCACTGGACTCCCATGTAGTAGATTGTGGTTTGAACCTGGACCCAGAGACATAAAGAAACACACTGGGCACGTGAGTGTGCATGCCCAAGATCCTGAGGAGAATGGAAGAGAAGGGGTTGTGGTGTGGCCACATCCCCTGGGGGTTGACTTTTAATTTCTATCTGTGTCTGTCTCCAGCAAGCACACATGGCCTACAGAAAAAAATCTGTCAAAAAAAAAAAAAAAGAATTCAGAAATAAACCAACATAACATGGTCAGAGTGATTTCTGACGACAGTGTTAAGACCATTCAATGGAGAAAGAATAATATTTTAAACAAATAATGCTGAGATGACTGGACAGACTCATGCAAAAAACTAAAGTACTATCCTGCCTTTATACCATATATGAAAATTAAACTCAAAATAATCAAAGACAGGGAACCAGCAGTTAGTGTAATGGCTATGTCATTGGACACCCACGTAGTCGACCACGGTTCGTGTTCCGGACCTGGTGGCTTGAATCCCACACTGGGTGCGTGTGCCCAGGATCCCGAGAGGAGAATGGAGGAAAAGGGACTGCGGCATGACCATCCCCCCCTAGGGGATGATTTCTCACTTTCTGTCTCTATGTCTCTCTCTATCTGTCTGGTGGGCACACTCCGTAAAGCGAAAAACCTCTCAAAAAAAAAAATAAAATAATAATAATAATAATAATAAAATCATAAGACTTTATTTTTCTTATAGAGATTAGCACCTAGCATGAGATTTTTAAGCCACCACGTCTAGGACTCAAACTGTGGTCAACTATGTGGGAGTCCAGCAACATAATTATTACACCACCTCCTAGCTCCCAAATATATAAACTTTATGAGCTGTGACAAAAAATTTATTGATTAAAGTACAATAATAAATCCTACAATGTGAAGTTGATCATGGATGTCAGAAAGAAAGAATACATGAAAAAAAATCATATAAGTGGCCAAGAAGCCAGATATATGAGTTCTTGCAACTCATGAAAGGCTAACAACTCAAGTGAAATAATCAGATTAGACATTCCTCTAAGTAAGATATACAAATGGCCAATAAACAAAAATGTTGGAACATAATTAGTCAAAAAATCAAAACCAATAATTCTATGAACCACATAATATCCAAAACAAAGACAAAAATTTTAAATGACCGGAAATAACAATACAGCGAATAATGTAGAAAAAATTAGATCTTTGAACACTGCAGGCAGGGATGTAAAATCATAAAGCTACTAAACACTTCAGCAATTCCTCAAAAAAAGTAATTTTCTATCTTGCCAACCAATTCTACTCCTAGGTATATACCAAAAGGGATTAAACTATCTGCTCAGACAACTAGACAGGCATATATAAAATAAAAGCATTCAAATAAGTGTTCATTGCTACAGGATAAATAAAAATATAAAAATAGTGACAAGCAGCAAATGTCTATCAACGAATTCTAAACATAAAAAATTAATAAGGACTAATATTAATATATCCCACAATATGGATAAACCTTGAAGGCATTATGGTAAGTGGGGAAAAGTGGGTCAGAATTCTTATACCTGTCCAGTTGCAGTGCTGCACACATAGACTCACTGCTTGAGAAGTCTGAGGCTACCTGAAAAGCCCCAGTTCAGTTCTCCACTTGAATATGCTAGGTTTGGCTATACAGAACTGTATTCCTAACTTAGAGGCTAGAGTAGAAAGACATCCCAACACTGTGTCACTGGGAACCACAGGATGGTAAACACAATGTTCTAGGAGGATGACCCACATAGAAAAGTTCCTGTTAATGTCCAAAGATGCTCCCTGAACACACACAGCAAAATTATAGTAATGATATAGGGCTAGCTGAGACTGGGCTGAATTCTGTCATCAAGACATTGTTCAGAGAACACTCTACAACCTTCCCAGAGAAATAAATAAATAAACTTATACAGCGAAAGGGGGAGGCAACTCAAGGTATGGGCTTAAGATCATTGGCTCCCACATGGCCTATCCAGCAGGTAAAGTCTTAGAACAAGGGCCTTGAGAAACATGCTGGGCACACATGCATGTGTTTCTAAACTCCCAAGAGGAGGGAGAGATGGAGGAGAAGGTACTGCAACATGACTGTGCCCCATAATACTTTACTACTTTCTCTCTGGCAAACGTACAATGAAACTATCTCTGTCTTTTTCACATTCCCTCTCTATGTCCACATCTAATTTTCACAAAAATGGGAGAAAATCATATGCCACATATTTAATTTCATAAAAATTAATAGAAACAAAATTAATTAGACTAGACAATTAGTAGAAACAAAATTAATTAGTAGTTGACTAAGGACATATCCATGGCAAAGAGATGGGGGACATTTTTATATTGTGAAAATGTTCTATAAAAGTGCCTGTTGTGATTGCAAGTTCACAATTCCTATGGATATACTAACAACTGCTGAATTAAACATCTTAAATGGTTAAATTGTATGTTATGTGAATTATATGCCCATAACTATATTAAAGTAATAAGAATAAATGTATGTACGTATGGTTTTGGACAAATAGCCTTCATGTTCAATTACGTTTCATTCCAATTCAGGTAATTGAATAAAGTTAACAATAATTTTACTGAGTTTAGGAATTCAAACTCTGTGGTTAAAACTTCTCCTTCACTAAACAGCTCTATTATAAGTAATCACAGTAAGAATTCTTAAGACTAGTATTACAGGCTATCTCCAATAACAAGATAAATTTGTAGAAATAATGATGTATATTATTAAGAAGCAACCTACTTAACTACTTTTACTGTACTCAAAAGTATGCATACCAAGAGTCAGTCTGCTACTTTAACCTCATTGTAAATTGAGATAAAACAGTATATTATTTCTCAACAACACAATTCTCTCATTTAAACAAGTCTTCTATACTGGATAGTTTAACCCTCAAGGATTCCAATCAAGAAGAAACTATGAGAGGCTGGATGTTCTTTTGCCTTCAGTCTAACTCAGACATCCTCATCATGACCATCATCCATCCCTTACTTCTTAAATTTGCAATTTAAGAAGAAATAATTTGGTTTTGTGTATAATTTTGTTTGCTTTCAAAGAATTACATTTAGGCTCTCTTTTGCCACTAAAATGCCAGAAATGTATCTAGATAAAGACATTTTACACAAAGGTCATCAAAAAACTTTTCACATTTTAATGTCACCTCAATATTAGTATTTTGTCACCCATTTAAAAAGTAAAATGTACTTTCACTATAATCTGTTCCCCAAAAGAAAAAAAACTAGCATTCAAACTGTACAAACCTTCCAGCAGTCAGCCTGTAAACTGTAGTATCTCTGATATGCAGATAATGCTGGAAAAGGGAAAACAGTTATCAGTCAAATTACATATCACAAAAAAAAAACCACAGTAAGATTAAGAAATATTTTAATATAAACTGACTTATATGCCTGTCTTTCAACAAATGATCCCCCCCCCCAAAAAAAAACAATTTGTATTTAAGTCATAACATAATTTCTCCCAGGAAGACATAAAACACTGGCAATTTAACTTCCTTCAGGGATTAGAATTGCTGGGAATCTTCTAAGGCTACCATGTACCATACTGAATCTCCTAACTTTTTAACGTGCTGCTAATCTCCTAGGAATACTAAAAAATCAGGCATCATGATGGCTTAGTAATAAAGGTGGCTGGATCCCATGGCCAAACCAGGAATTTAAGTTTTAACCGAGTTGAGTCCCAGTTTCATACCCATGTTAGAAGTATGTAGGTACAGGTCCAAAATATTGAAAGGAGTGAAAAAGAGAAAAGAAAGGACTATAGTGACCAAGTACCATGAGGAATGCTTTCTCACTCTCTAACTTTCTCTAATAGTAGATGCCATCTGGCAAATAAAAAACAAAACAAAATAAAAAAATCAACAGTCATCTAAGATGCAAAGTAACTTCTGTGATGCCTCCCTTCACATAACCAACGTTACCTTCATCTACTATCTTCAATTTAATTCCAAGATCATTACCCTTGCTCACCACCCAACTAAATGCATAAAATGGGATTTAGCAAGTGGCATGGTAGTTAAGGGGCTGGACACTTCTGACATGGCCAACCATGGTTAGAGTCTCAGATCTGGTGGCTTGCTTTCTCATTCTCTCTCACTCTCTCTGTATCTTGCTCTAGCAAATTTTAAAAAAATAAATGAATGAATAAATAAAATTAAATAAATATTTTTTAAAAAAATTAATATATGTGTAAAATGTCTCAATTCACATTAAGTAGTTCTTTTAAAAAAAATGAGATAATTTGTTTCACGTCAAAATGGCCAATGGAGGAGAGGGAGAGAGAGGTGGCAGTCAGCAGATGGCATGGTGGTTAAAGGCACTAGAATCCCACATGCCTGACCATGGTTCTAGCCCAGGACCTGGTGGCTTGCTTTCTCACTTTCCCACTCTCACTTTCTCGCTCTATGCCTCTCTAGTCAAACTTAAATAAATAAATAAAAATAAAGTTAAATAAAATAATTACTTAAAAAATAAAAATTTGTGAGCAGATCTGCAATTGCAGCTTCAGATGGCTGGATGATATTCAAAACAGCATTACAACGCTTTAGCATTCAATAAACTTGGGTTAATGAGAGACCATACAATATATAAGAATGAAGATGTGAAAGAAGCCATAAGAAGACTTCCTAAGAATCTTTAAAATCACAGGATGTCTCACATTAAGACAGTACTAGCTAGACCTGACCATGAGGAAGTAGATCTTGCCTAACCAATAGCAATGGACAAATTATGAGTAAGATCATTTCTACCTTGAACTGTATATGAAAGAGCTTATTCAGAAAAGAAAAGAGAAGAGAAGAAAAGAAAAAAAAAGAAAAGAGAAGAAAAGAGAAGAAAAGAAAAGAGAAGAAAAGAGAAAAGAAAAGAAAAGAAAAGAAAGAAAAGAAAAGAAAAGAAAAGAAAAGAAAAGAAAAGAAAAGAGAAAAGAGGAAACAAAGAAGTAATGTAGTTGAAATTATGGACACAGTTTTCCTAAAAGTATTTTTAAGAAGTTGGTAGAGACTGAAACATATCATTTTTAGTATTTGGTCTGTAGATGTATTACTTCAAATAAATGTTTATTGTAATACAAACAATAAAAAGCACATAAAGTAAAAGCTAAAATAGAAATAATATAAACACATATTAGGGGAGACATTTACAACAATAAAACCCAAACAACTAACTAGAAAACACAATCACTATCTACTTGGCTCAAAATTTGTCTTAGTAAGAGCTGAGTATTATTTGTGAAGGTTACCAGGATGAAATTTTAGAATAACATATACCTAATAAAGAATATTATTTTAGAATTAAAAATATATTGAAAATACCAGCAGAGCACTAAAAGAACAGTTATTTAAGCATACTATAATTGGTTGAGAATTTTTTTTATCATTTGCTAGAGGCATTACACTCAGCAGAGAGAATGAGACTCACAGGCCTCCAAAGAGGCATTGGTCAGGGCATAATTCCTTCTCCATCCTGTCAGGATTTGAGGTGTATACACACATACACACACACACACACACAAACCTAGCATGTTTTCAAGTCATGGGGCCAGGATTTAAATGGCACTGTAGACCACATTGGGATTTAACTTTCCCTGATCACCAGTCTTTGGGACTAGCTCAATATGCTGAGATTTCTTTTAGAGAAAATAACAAAATCTAAACAGAAACTTTTTTTTAAATATGATTAAAAAATTACAAGATTTAGAATTCTTTTTCTAAAACAGATTTTTGACTTAGGGTGCATGCACTCACCTGATGGAGACAGAGACAGAGACAGTGAGAGATAAAGTGAGAAATAATACTTCTGGAGGGATGACCACACCACAATCCCTTCTCCTCCATTCTCCTCGTAGCACTTTGCAGACACACACACACACACACACACACACACACACACTCACACAAACACATACACACACACAGTGTGATTTTCAAGCCACTAGGTCCAAGACTCAAACCGTGGTCAGCCACGTGGGAGTCTAGCAATGTGACTACTCCATTATCTGTTGGTCCCACAATTTAGAATTTTTTAAGAATTTTTTAAGAAATTCTAAATTGTAAAGCTCAAAAGATAGCAGTGTTTATAAGAATCATCTCATGATAAAAGCTAACTTTCAAGTCTATGGATTCTGTGACTAGAAAAACTTCCAAAATACAGTTTAAAGAGATCCATAAATGCTTTCCACAGACAAGAAAGCATAACTAGGGGAAAGTATTTAAAAATCCCATTTAAAGTTCTGGAATATCTCCCAAAACACCAATCAAATGAAAGAGAGTTAAAGTGAGAAAGCAACAGCAAGGGGGACAGTCCCATCCATCCCTTGTCCTCCATTCTTCCTTTGAGATTTTAGGCAAATAAGCATAAAAAGCTGGCCTGTTTCTCAAGCTGCCAGATCAGTATCTTTAACTATACAACCTGCTGTGTAGGATCCAGCAACAAACATTTACACCACACTATCAGCTGGCACTTAATAAAAATTTACTTAAGAAAAGCTATTAAGTTTCAGTAAAGATAATGTGAATCTGTGGCACATTAGGGAGAACTCATTCCCTTTCAAATCACTCCATCTAGCCCAGACACCAACAGGTAACTGCTAGACCCACCTAAACAAGAGTAACCCCTTATTCAACTTCCTTAGACACTTGCCCAAGACCTACCAACATTTTTTAATCTCTCTCTGCTCCATATTATAACCACTCTTCTAACAAAGTGCAAATGAAAGGTAGAAACGATTGCTTTCCTCTACCATCCCCACATTCAAGAAACAAATGATACACACTTGGATGGGAAAATACTCAGTAACTGCTATTGAAAAGAGATCAGATGAAGGTTTAAAAATGAATGTGACTGGGACCAGCAGTTAGCATAATGGCAATGTCACTAGATTCCCATATAGTCTACCGCAGTTCGAGTCCTGGACCCAGTGGCTTAAACTCACGTCGGGTTTAAACTCACACCAGGCGCGTGTGCATGTGTGCACAAGATCCCAAGAGAAGAATGGAAGAGAAGGGATTGAGGCATGGCAATCCCCGCGGGGAGAGGGGGAGGGATTTCTCACTTTCCCTCTCACTGTCTGTGTGTGTGTGTGTGTGCATGTGTGTGTCAGAGTACACACACCAAAAGTGAAAGAAAGAAAAAAAAAGAAAAAACTCCCCCCAAAAAATTACTTGTGAAAGAGTTTGGGTATGTTCAAACTTAAGAATATCATTGAAAACGTTAAGACCTTTACAATAAATTAACTAAAAGGAATCTAGGACCTCCATAATAAATGTCTAAAACTATTAACTGGTGAAAACTTGACAGAAGTAGGTAAAGAGATAACTAAGCAAGAACTTCCAGGATTTGAAACAATCCTATTTAGGTTTCATTTTATTAGACTCAAATAATTTATGCAAAAAACGATTGCCAAAACATAAAAAATAGAAACATCAGCAAATGATGGGTGTTAACAACCGGATGTCAATAGAAGCAAGAGATCTAGAAATCGAGCAAAGATGACAGACAATCAAGAAACTCTTGAGGGAACCAGCAGTTAGCGTAATGACTATGTCGCTGGACTATCAAGTAGTCGACCATGGTTCACATCCTGGACCCAGTGGCTTAAAACTCACACTGGGCGCGTGTGCATGTGTGCCCAAGATCCTGAGAGGAGAATGGAGGAGAAGGGACTGCGGCATGACCATCCCCCCTGGGGGGTGATTTCTTGCTTTCTGTCTCTCTGTCTCTCTCTGGCTAGCGCACGCGCCCTATAGCAAAAAACCTCTCCAAAAAAAGAAAAGAAACTCTTGATAAAAATCAAAAAGACTGTTTACACTTCAAAGGCTTTTTATACCTCTGGGGCAGCAAATAAGATACTACATAGTACAGAAAATATAGACCTCACTAAAATGGGACAGGTGTTAAATAAACAAGCTAATATTATTATCACTAATGATGATGACGACGATGATGATGATGATGATGATGATGATGATGATGATGATGATGATGATGATGATGATGATGATGATGATGATGATGATGATGATGATGATGATGATGATGATTTTAACTAGGCCAGAGAGAAATAGTTAGAAAAAGGGTAAGCGAGAAAGCAAGCTGCCAGGTCTGGGAATCAAACTGTGGGCAGCCATGTGGGAGTCCAGTGCCTTTCCATCATGCCAGCCCCCAAACTGACAGTTATAATCTCCAGGGGAAATAATAAATAAATTGGTATTAAAATTAGGTGATCTGGGGCCAACAAATGGTGTGGTGTTTAAAGGCAATGGATTCCCACACATGGCTGTCCACGGTTTGAGTC